TATAGTGAAATTAGATACCTAACTCACAAACCTAACATTTAGAATATAACTCCGTTCATAAATTGAGGTACACCTAAACAGAAATTACAGTCTAGAACACTAAAGCAGCTATATTATCTGCCATTTCAATTCCAAATATAACTGGGGGTAAAGGGAAGCTAGGTTACTGGGTGCGCTCAGCAGATCGGTGATAGTTGTTGAACAAAGCTTATAAAAACAAAACAGACCCTGTGGCCTCAAATGAGGTTTATATTACTAACATTTCCAACAAAGGCTGACATTCCAGAATGTCAAATTATTTCAATAATGTCAAAATTTCCTTTAAAAAAAATCCTGATGTCCTATACATTATCTGGCCCTCCTAAAAATGTATGCATGCAGGAATGAATAAATAAACCAACACAAGTCAAAAGTCATATGTAAAACTAGGGAAAATGTTTGCAACACAAAGACATAAAAAGGAACCCCTACAAATCAACTTAACAACAAAAAGAATACCTACAACCCAAAAGAAAAATGAACAAAGAAAATCAGAAGCTCACATATAAAGGAAATCCAGACGACCAATAAAGATAAAGCTACTCAATCTTATAATCAAAGAAACATAAATCGCTAAAACAAGATGTCACTTTTCATCTGCCAAACAAGCAAAAATTAAAAAGACTGATAGTATCTAATATGGGCAAAGGTGAGGAAAAACAGTCTCTCATTCACTCTTAGAGTGTAAACTGAGTATGGGGGGTGGTGGGAATTTGGCACCTTGCTTCAAAATTATATATGTTCAAATTCTTTGACCAAGCAATTTTACTTCCCAAAGAGTACATTTTCATACAAGATAAACGTTCAAGGACATCTACTGTAACCCTCTTTAAAATACTGAAACTTTAAAGCAGAGAACCATTTACATGTCCATTAACAAGAACTGGTTAAATAAATTATAACATAGTCATTCAATAAAATACTCTGAGGCAGTGAAAAAGTATAAAGTAGAGCTCAGATTCTTAAGATATATTAAGTGAACAAAAACTGAGCAGGATATATAATACAACCCATTTGTTTTTAAGAAAAAAGATGTATGAGTGTGGAAGCATACTTGTATATGCACGTAAATTTCTTAAAGGATACAAAAGAAGCTGCTAACTATGGCTACTTCTGGGAAACCAATAAGCAGGAAGGTAAAGGAGCACATTTTACATTATACTCTCAGAATTACGAGTTTTAAACAATAATAAATATAACATATTATAATAATTATATATTTTTACATATCATACATAAATTTTTTAATTATCTGAAATTTTGAAATTTATTCCCAAATATGCCCAATGTCATTTCTCCCAACTTAGCAGCTAAAATCAAACCTATATTCTTTAGCTCTATTATATTCAAAGAACCATATGAATAGATCCCTTCTCTACACATAAATTTTCTAGCCACCATGAGGCCATTTTCTCCCTATTCTCACGTACAAAAGCCTCTCTGGCCTTGTTCTCTGCCTAGAACTCCTAGAATTGTGAGGACTCCCAGTCACCACCATTTTTTGCCTGCTTAACCCAGCTCCCTCATCACTCAGATCAAGTCACATCCACTAGTTACAGAGTCTCACAGTGTCCTGGTTTCTCCCTGTCATTGTTGTAATTTTATACTTCTGTGATTATTTGATGAACACCCATCATCCGCACTAGACTATAATCCTGTATAGGGCAAGTCTTTGCTCATGATTACATTCCAAGTATCGTGGCGGCATGTCATAGTTGCTAAATAAATATCTATTAAATAAATGACTCCTTAGTGCCTGGCATGTAGTAAATGCTCAGTAAATGTTATTCATTTACATGGCATTGTAGAGTATGTGCTAGGAGGAGTAGGGATAAATAAAAGAATTGTCAGGGAACTGAGCGAGTACCTGGTTGAGGATAACTAGCATTAATTTGTGTCTTTTGTGAATTTCTTCAGACCTAGAGCAAGAATAATTATCCAGAATGAGGAAATGGCTAGGAAAGAACTTGGAAAAGCATCCTTAAAACAACTGACTGGGAGGTATGGCCTTGAAGGGAAAAAAGTAAGGCCCTTCCCTCTGCTTGGATTACCTCATCCTCACACCCCATCCCCTATGTTCTGGGCGTAGTCTACATTAATTATTTAAACCAGCATCAAATGCCCCTCCTCTATAAAGGCTCCCACAGCTTCCAAACAAAAGTATCTCTTCTTCTTTGTTCCCAAGGTTCTCCAGACTTAGTTATTATATATCCATCAATCATACTCCTTCTCATGTCTCTTGGTAAATCCAAAGGTGTCAAACCTTATTTTACTTGACCCATTCATTCATTGCATTTGACAAAAATGAACACACTACTCAGCCCTGAATTCCACAACACTAGACTCTCAAAACTGTCATTGTCCCACACTAGCTATTTATTTATTCTGTCTCCTTTGCTGGTTTTTCATCTCCCCAAACCTATAAAGGCTAAAATGCCTAAGGACTCAGTCTTATACTACTTTTCTTTTCTGTTTACATTCATTCCTTTGGTGATTATCTCCAGCCTCACAATTTTAAGTACCATCTGTTCACTCACAACTCCCAAATGTTCTTTTCCAACAATGAACTCCCCCCACTGAACTCCTAACTTGGTAGACTCAACATCGCCACCTGGATGACTAACAGACATCTCAAACCTAACATGTCATAACTGAACTCCTAATCTTCCTCCACACAACTTCTCCTTTCTTAGTTTTTCACTTCTTAGTTAATGGCAATTCCACCCTTCAAGTTGCTCAAGCCCCAAACCCTGAAAATTATCTCACTCTTACAATCCACATTCATTCCATAAACAAATCTGTTAGCTTTACCTACAAAATGCATCCAAAATTGAACTGCCTCTCACCATACTTCTTTTCACCCTATGAAGCCACTATAATCTCATGTGAATTATTACAACACCTTCCTAATTAGTCTCCTGGCTTTTGCCTACCACACTCTCCAACAATCTGTTCTTAACATAGCTGCCAGAGTGATCCTGTTAAAAACCTAAATCAGATCATGACATTCCTCTGCCCAGAACATTCCACTGGTTATTCATCCTCTACGTTATTCCTTCAAAGCAGGAATTATATTGCATGACATTTGCATCTGCACATGACTAACATAACATCTTGCCACATATTAGGTACTTAGTAACTGTTTGTTACCACTTCAAAACCAATGAAAGTAAACTGGGGACAAATTTTGAGAATCCTAATATCAGATTTGAGTTTGTACTTAAAGATATTAGGAAGTCACCACATGGACCCAAAAGAAAAATATACCATAAGGTACATTCTAGGGCTATTTCCATTCCTATGCTAAGTAGAGTTACATACAATTATTAACTAAACCAGAAAAAAATCCAATTTATAATTTTGAGACATCTGCAGATGTTGCACCAGAATTCTATTACCATAATGACCTTTTCGCACTGCATTATCTTAGAAAATAATGGTGAAACACACATACAACAATCTATCAATAATATTGCTCCTTTGGCAGACAGTCCATGTTGATGCCACCTATAATTCTCCTTCAAACTAACAGTAAAATACCTGAGAAAAGATACTTTTTCCTTTTAAAGGTGTTAACCTCTAAAAAATAAATTTATCCCAAAGTCTTATAATAGAAAAAGATACAAATTACAAAAGGTTGCTCAAAATTGAGATGAATAATTACATCAGATTATAATGAATTTACTATTATTTAATGCTAATGTTTAATTCCAAGTATTTTCAAAATTACACATATGAAGCAGCAAAATTACCTTCCAAAACCATGGAATTCACTTATTACAAAATTCTCATCTCTAAAATAATAACCGTATATAGGACGATTGTGAAAGTTAAATGAATGATATTGGTAAAGCTATTAGAACAGTGTTTGGCTCAGTTACCACTCAACACATTAGCTAGTGGTAATAGTTATTAATTTACTAAAGTGAAAATGACCAAATGTGACCAATGTGGACTATTCAAAGCCATACTCGAAGGGTCGACTGTTTGGAATCAGTAGCTAAGATAACACATATAAAGAACCATTTGAAAATTAAAAGCAGTTTTATGAAAAACTGTATTACCTCTGACCTGTGATACCTATAACATTAACTATTTGAAGGCACCTATACCACCCTGTAACATTTTGGAAAACCACTGTTCACACGGGCATTATTTTATCTTTCAACAAAACAAAGAGTTCTAGCATGTCCACAAATCACAAACGGTTCTCTGAATTTCAACAGGAATTGTCTGAATTTTCGGATCCAACATTTTCAGATCCAATTAATACAACTGTATCAAAATACAGTTAAATCTCGGTTCAGTATATTATCAGACAGTCCAAAGAGATTAATAAGCGGGACATATACACCTTTATCAAGCCAAAATTGAATTGAGGTCAACAAACAGAAAGACATTAAAGATAATTTAAACAGAAGTTTGAATCGCACCTAGCCTTCCTGAGGCAAAAAGAAAAACTTTATCGAGATTATCGACTACAGATTTCACCTTTAAATCGAAATTAGCCTACCATCTCAGGTGGGCTAATATTGCAGCGGCAGGCCGTATGTGAATGATAAACGGTGATAACATAAAGTTATTCCCCTACACCCTACACTTTGGCCTTCGTCCCTAAACAAGATTTGACGGCAGCTGAAAATTGTGAAGTCATTTAATTTCTCCTCCACCTCCCAATATTTAAGAGGAGGAGCTGAGGAGAAAAAAACTAAAGGACAGACCAAGAGAGAGAGGTGAGGGGCCAAGGTTAGCCAAAACCGGCTAGCAGCCGCAGGACAAGCCGAAGTGTGGGTCCTGCAACAATTCCAACCCCAATGCTCAGGTGAGAGGTAACGCATTCGTGAAGGCTACGCAGCCCGACCCGCGCCCCTCAGTCAGCCCGGGGATGAAAAGGGGGACTCCGAGAAGAAGCGAACTTTTGCAGAAACGAGAAAAACTCAAACCCCAGCTTTCATTAATACCTCGCGGGCCTTCTACTCCTATCTCCAGGAAAAGCAGGCGGTGGTGACGTCAAATAGGCGCCGGCTCTGTCCGCTGGGCGGCGGCGCTCTGTGATAACCTCACGCGACTCGCCCCGCCCCCTGTCTCCTTTTCCCTGGGCCTCTATCTCAAATACCTCAGGCCAGACCTGTGGAAGCGTCTGGGGCAAGAGGCGGGTACCTTTTACTAGATTTGTATTCTGCGTACACCCAGATACAAGTTGGGCATACTTAACCAGAAAAAAAAAATGTTAGTTATTAAAGCTTTGTTAGGTTTTTATTTTTGCTTAAACTGGTTCCGGGACCCTGGGGTTTTTTTTTTTTCTTTTTTTAATTTATTTATTTGACAGAGACATGGCGAGAGCAGGGGGAGTGGGAGAGAGAGAAACGGGCTTCCCACCGAGCAGGGAGCCGGATGGGGGGCTCGATCCCGGGATGCCGGGATCATGACCTGAGTGGAAGGCAGACGCTTAACCACTGAGCCACCCAGGCGCCCCTCAGGGGCCCTGCTTCTTACTACAGTCCCAATGTCCGCCTCAAAATTAACCGTCTAGAGCGGACTCCCAAATTATCTGTGGTTAAAGCACAAGTTCTTTAGTTTTATAATTCATCACTGAAAGATACTTTTGTAAGATAGAGCAAAAATGAATTTCTTTGAAGGGGGGGAAATAGGAGGGGGAGACGAACCATGAGAGACGATGGACTCTGAAAAACAAACTGAGGGTTCTAGAGGGGAGGGGGGTGGGAGGATGGGTTAGCCTGGTGGTGGGTATTGAGGAGGGCACATTCTGCATGGAGCACTGGGTGTTATGCACAATGAATCATGGAACACTACATCAAAAACTAATGATGTAATGTATGGTGATTAACATAACAATAAAAAAATTTTTTAATGAATTTCTTGAAAAATGGAAAAAATAGGCAAAATACAAGTACAGATTTTTCATTATTAGTTTCAGTAAGCATAAAATTATATTTTAATAAATACAATCAGATGTGAGAGGAAAAACTGTTCATTGGAAATGTAGTATAGTAGCTCCCTCTTACCATGGTTTCACTTTCCTTGGTTTCAGTTACCTGAGGTCAACAGCAATCTGGAAGCACATGATCCTTCCTCTGATGAATGATTAGAATTATTAGAAGGTCAATAGTCACTTAACACGATGCCTGCACCATTCATGTCACTTTATCTCATCATATAAACATTTTGCCATCTCATGTCATCACAAAAAGAAGGGTAAGTACAGTACAATAATGTATTTTGAGAGACCATATTCACATAGCTTTTATTACAATATAGTGTTATAACTGTGCTATTTTATTATCAGTGTTGCTAATCTCTTAGTGTGCCTAATTTACAAATTAAACTTTATCATAGGTATGTACGTATAGGAAAAAACAGTATATACAGGGTTCAGTACTACATGCAGTTTCAGGCATGGGGGCAGGTGTTAGATCTTGGACCATATTCTCTAAAGACAAGGTGGGGACTACCGTAAGTGATTAAGAGCATCATTTTTACATTTGTAACTTTTTATATGTGATTTATATACATATATCAAATCATTATATTGTATGCCTTAAATTAATACAGTGTTGTAAGTCAGTTATATCTCAATAAAACTGGTGGCAGTGGGGGAATGGAGAGGAGAAGGAAAAAAGAAAAGTTATCCAAAACCTCTGGGGGAGGGGGGAATACCTCCTGATAGCATTTGAAAACCACTGCCTTATGCTACATCACAGTTTCTATTACTCTATTTCACATCAGGAGGCTGAATTCGCCTCAGTGCTGGTGAATACTCCAGCTCTTAGCTGCAATGAAAGAGACTCAATATTTAACAATATAGCTGGCCTTCAAACTGGAAGATAAAGGCACTGACCACATTCCCAGAGTAGATCAATTCCTTCCCATTTGATTACTTCACAGTACAAATGATGGTGGATGATGCAAAAGTAGCTGTTCAGGACAAACTAGCTATGTGACCCTAGGCAAGTTATTTAATCTCTCTGATCCTTAGTATTCTCATTGGGAAAATAGAGCTAATAATAACTGTGAGGCAAATGAGGCACCATAAGTGCTTTCCATAGTGCCCAGCACAGAGTAAGCATTTAATAAACATTAATCATTAGTAAGAGGAATTATCACTATACAATATTATCACTAAGAAAAAGGAAATTAGAAAATTCTAATGTTGATAGAAAAAGAAAATTCTGATGTTGAATTTAAGAAGTTTCTTAGATCTTAGTATTCAAATTATGTATTGCAAATCAGGCTCCCAATTAATACCAGAGTAAAATATTAGAATTTTTTCCTATCTTCTGGATGATAACAAAAGAAAATCACCATTTTACAGCCATCATAATAATAATCAACTCAGGTGAGATTCATCAGTAGATGCTGAAACTGTTAGGTGCAAGTTTGATGGAGAGCAGGACATTTATACCACCTTAAAACACTTCATCATAGGTTATTTTTGAATTACGAAAGTAAAAATGGTAATTTTACAATAGCTAAATCTGGTAGATATAAAACCAAGTGTTCTATTTTAGCATCACTAATGGGACAAACTGACATCACATGCCTCCTTTTGTGATGCGCTAAGACCATACCATCATTTAATGTGTTATTCCTGCCAAAAGGATATTATGTGAGTCTGATCCTCAGGAAATATCAAACACACCCAAAATGAGAAACATTCTTTAAAAAAAAAATAGCTCTGTTTCAGAATTGTTAATGTCATAAAAGATTTTTTAAAAAAAGAAAGAAAGAAAGAAAAGAACTGTCCTAGATTGAGAAACTGTATACAGAGACCAACAGCAAAAGGCAATGTGTGATCCTGGATTGGATCCCGAATCAATGAAGAAAAAAAAAAACCCTACAAAGAATATTACCGGGGCAGTTGAAATTGAATATAGATTTTATATTGAATAATAGTATTAAATCTATGTTTTTTGTATTTGATAATTGCACTGTGATTATGTTAGAGAATGTTCTTGCTCCCAGGAGATGCATGCTAAAATATTTAGATTAGGAGTAAAGGGCCATGTTGTCTGCAATTTACTCTCAAATAGTTCTGAAAAAATATTAATAGTAATAATAATAATAATTATATGTGAAAAGAGATCTCAGATGTGGCAAAGTGTTTCGTTTATTTTTTTTTTAAGCTTTATCCATTTATTTGAGAGAGAGAGAGAGTGGGGGGGAAGTATTAGAGGGAGAGAATCTTCAAGCAGTCTCCCCACTGAGCACGGAGCCCAATGTGGGGCTTGATCTCGAGATCCATGAGGTCATGACCTGAGCTGAAACCAAGAGAGTCAGACGCTTAACTAACTGAGTCACTCAGGCGCCCCAAGTGTTTGGTTTATAATCAGTGAATCTAGGTGAATGATATGAGAGAGTTTATTGTATTATTCTTGCAGCTTGTCTATAAATTTAAAGTACAAAAGAAAAAGAAGTAGGAAGGAAGGGGAGAGAGGAAGGGAAGGGAGGGGGAGGGAAGGGAAGGGAGGGGGAGGGAAGGGAAGGGAAGGGAAGGAAAGCGGGGGAAAAAGCATGATGGATGGGAGACCAGAGAGGAAGAGCCTTCTCTGAAATTCAGCCCTTTAGCTTTATGGGTGGTTTGTTTACAAGACTCCTGTCTTGTTTGTGACCTTTAAGGACCTGGGATGAAATAATCACCACAGGTTATGGTCTATGTGTACGAAATATTACTGTGCAGAATATTGCCCATTGTTACCCCCAACCCCTCCCTCAATTTTGAAAAGTAAAGTGCAGGTCTTAGTAATGTTAACAATTCTAATAGCAAGCTTTGTTTCCATCTTTGTTTCTTTGTTTCATATATCATGAATTAAAAAACAACTGTGAACTGGTCCACATCAGCATTTGGAAGTTTGTTCTCATTCATTAATCTAATTGTTTAATCATTGAACCAAAAGTGGCTAAATCACTCTCTCCCTACTTCTCAGACTGGATATTGAGAATAAATAAGCAAATGAGGCTGCTTTACCACTCAGCTTCCCTGCACTCCACTCCAACTTCCAGCCTTGCAGGAGAGGGACTGATGGAAAGTAAGCTTTGCTCAGATGGATAGGTACTGAGGGATGGAAGTCCCTGCATGTATGCCCAGCCCCATTTGGGACCCTGACTTGCTAGTTCAGAAGACAATCTGCAGTCTAACTCCACCTCATTTGACTCCTGCTGTAAGAAACAGAAAAATTACAATGAGAATTTAGCAGCAAATTAGGCTTAGTTCAGGGGAGGTCATTAGTGTTTCATGACACCCTGAGGAAGAATGCCCAGGTGGTAAGAATATTCTTTCTTTAAACCAAGTAGGAGATTCTAGGTGATGAGCAATTGATGCCATCACTATCTGTACTGTTTGTCTAAATAATCTAAATAAATAAGCCACTTCCTCTTCTATTTTTTGTGCTTTTTTCTTCCTTCCTTCCTATTGTTTTGTTTTGGTTTGGTTTTGGGTTTTTGTTTTTGTTGTTGTTGTTGTTGTTGTTGCTGTTGTTTTGTTTTCCGGGTGTTGAGTACTTGATTCATTTGAAACATCTGGTGGGATGGGAAAATTTAAGCTAGGTTGTCAGCTCATAAGTCGTTCTAAATACACGAAAAGTTATATTTCTTCCCTTATTGTCTTAGTCCTTTCACACTGCTATAACAAAATGCCACAGACTGAGTGCCTTATAAACAATAGACAGCTACTTCCCACAATTATGAAATCTGAAAGTCTGAGATCAGGGTGCCAGTAAGATTGGGTGAAGCCTCTCTTCCAGCTGTAGACTGTCAACTTCTTGTATTCTTGCTTGGGGAAGGCAGAAGGGAGTTATCTCAGACCTTGTTTAAAAGGGCACTAATCCCATCATAAGGACTCCTCCTTCATGACCTAATCACCTCTCGAAGGCCCCAGCTACTAGAACCATCACATTGGGCATTAGGATTTCAGCATATGAATTTGGGGGAGACACATTCAGACCATAACACTCATCTTCACCTCACTGTGCTTTATTGTCCTAAATTATTTACATCAAAAAATGGAATAAAGACAGGATT